ATAAAAGGGAATGTATCTAGATGTATTTTAGTTTTAGATACATCTTTTTTGTTCATTTTGATGACAAGTATTTCGGACAGAGAAAGTACCTCCGATTCGAAGGAATTACCCCGTTCCTCGTCTCGGCTCTCATCTCCACGACTCACTCGCCATCTACGCAGCCTCTTCCTCGTCTGGCCGGGGCGGGCGTCACCCGCGGCTGGAGAAACTGCTCGATCTGGTCTTGCGAAGGCGAGGATGCGGAGCAGCGTCTAACTCCGCTCGATTTGGTTGTCCTCTTCCCATCGAACGCCTTCTCCACGAAAGCTACGGTGTGATTTCTTGGCTGCGTGGCAGCCAGCAACAATCAACGGCGACCCATATGGCCTTAGCTCGCTGTTGATTGCAAGTTTCCTCTTGGTTAACTGCAAGTCAGAATACTAGCAGTAGTTTTACGTCCGAAAAGATTGGAAATTCAACAGATAGATTTTGGTTAAATTTGTATAAAACGCAAGTTTTCTCTTTACTTCAAGTTAGAATATTAACAATAGTTTTATGTTTAAAAAAATTACAGGGAATCTCTTCACCAAATTAAATTCATTCCATTTCATCTCTTCAACCAAACACCAAAACAGAACCGTTCCATTACACATAATTGCCTTTACCAAACACACAAACGGAACCGACCCATTTTACTAGAATTGGAATGGAACGGAACCATGCCGTTCCATTCCACTTCGTTCCCGAACCAAACACACCCTTAGCAATTTTATCAAAATTTTAGCTGCAGAGGCCTTATGGTCTTTGAACTAGCATCTACTCCCGAGCATGTTGAATGTAATAACGTCTTACATTATGGGACGGAGGGAGTATTTGCTTATCATCTGCAATAACTTTTATTTTTCGGATATTCAATTCGTGCTCAGGCTCGTCTGCACTGAATTTTTTTAGATGGAAGATGTTACAGTGCGTGATGTTTGTGCCAAATTTCAGCTTGTTTGAACATCTGAGGAGTTCATTCCAAAAAAGAAAAAATCGGTCAAAACAATGCGTGAACAGTAAACTTTCTTACTGCCCTAAAATTTGTCTTTTTTGCTGAGAGCCACTGAAATGTCCAAACTCCACGAAATTTGGCACGAGCTTCACGCACATGAGCATCTACCATCACAAAAATTTCAGATTTTTTTGAATTCTTTTACTATTTTAAATGAATTTACTGATCACCTGCACCCGAGAGCCAAAACACCGCGTCTTTTTCCTTTATTTTTCTACAATCATACTGTAAAACTATTGTTGCCTGTTGTTATGTGTAATATGATTCGGTTGAAATTGTCAGCCCAGCTGAACTATCACAACTACTTTCATCTTATCACACTATCGTCCAGCTGAAATTTTTCCATCCTTTACATTTGCATATGTTCACCTGTTTGGCAGTTTCTTATGTGAGTTACTGGGTGCAGAGCATTGACTTCATATCAACTGTCATCGATGATCAAGATGTGATTGCTATGCTTATCAGCCCTTGCTTAAAGTGGGTTTAGTTGACCGTGCTATTGGGTTACCAACAACTGAGATTGAAAGATCACCAATGAGAAGCTAGACAGGTATGGTGAATTCATGAATTGAAATTCGGCAAGATTTTCATTTTATAAAAGTTATCTGTTGCAGATTTTGAACTGTTATCGTTCAAAGGTATCACGGAAGCTTCTCATGTGCATTTTGACAAATTTTAGTGTCATGTCATCTTGAATCATATAAGATTGTATACCTCATGAATTTGCACCGAAGGCTTTTGGTTTACACCATATGATAGGATCATTCCAAGAGGTTGGAGTCGATGGAAAGTGTCCTGTAAAATATAGTGCAAAGAAATCCTTAGGAGTTAGGAAATATTCCATGGATTGCTCAATCATACGTATAAAATCATAGGAAACACACTAAGGGCCTGTTGGGATATGCGGTATTTCTCTAGAGATTTATGGGTTGAATGCTGAAGCTCCCAAGACAGTTGTGCAAGCAATCTTCAAGGATTTGAATCATTTATAGTCCCTTTAAGGTCCTTGTTTTAAAGGGCATGCTACGCGTCCGCCGGCTGATCTTTTTAAAAGATCGGCCGGGTTGCGAGCTGTCAGATCTGGCGCATCGAACGGCCGAGTGACACCTTCACCATTGCAACACAGGTCTTGTTACAGAAATTTTGCAACGGAGGTCCAGTTGCAGAAAAGCTTTGCAACAGAGGTCCTGTTGCAAAAAAAAAATTGCAACAGAAATCTTGTTGCATATTTTTTTTGCAACAAAGGTATTGTTACAGAATTTTTTTTACAAAGGAGCTCTTGTTGTACTCCCTCCGTCCCATAATGTATGTCAAAAAACGTCTTACATGAGGACTCAAAGAAAAACAAAACTCGAGGCGCCCACGTTCCGCCAAGATCGCATCTGTTCCGCCAAGATCGCATCAGGCGATCGGAGGAGGCGACCGGGATCCCTTGCGCGCCGCCGGTTCCCTCTCTCTCCGTCGGCCGCTCCGGCGGCGGGAGGGAGGGGGAACCCCGGGTCTGTTCTCTAGGTGGGTGTGCGGTAGGGTTAGGGTTGAGGGAGACGCTGCCGAGGCCGTTGCGGTGGTGTCGCGTCGGAATAAGTTTCTCCGGGCTCCGTTCGCGGTCAGGCGAGGCTTTTGCCTTCGTCTAGGAGCCAGCGGTGTTGGGGATCCCCGGATCTCGTCGAGGTCGCGGGCTATGGTGGTTGGAGGTCCATCGGCACTGGCCGTTTGGATCCTCAGATGGGCGATGGATGCAGGGAGATGAAGACCTTTCTTCTTCCTTATTGGTATGATTTGTTGTTGCTGTTCTTCTCCTTCCTCTGCGCTGATGCTGGTGGGAGATCCTGCTTTGTCCGGGCGGATGGCCCGGCCGCGGTGCTGGACTGGTCGGATGACTCGAGTTCTCTTCCTTTCGGAAGGGACACTTTTCGCGGTACTCAAAGCCAAAGATGGCGACGGCTGTTGCAGGTGTGTTGGATTGATGTCCATGCCCTCTCAGTGATGGTGTCAAGAAAGGAGGAAGCAACGTAGCGGCAATTGTACCGTGGTCGAAGATGATGACCTGTTTGCGACTGGTTGCAGATCCTTCTGGTGCAGGGGTCTTCTCTCAAGATTCAGGAATAATGACACAGGGCTCCGGAGATCTTTTTGTGTTATGGTTGTCTTAGGGTACTTTAGGTGTTTATGGTCTTTTTTGTTTGCGTTTCAATGTACTTGTAAGAGTCAACTTTATACTGATTCGTAATTTGAATGAAGAATTTCTAAAAAAAAACGTCTTACATTATGGGACGGGGGGAGTAGTTTTTTTTTGCAACAAAGAGCTTGTTGCAGGAAAACACCCGAGAAGAGAATCAGAATGAGGGCCATGGGTGGAGAGAGAGGTGCGTAAGGAGAGAGAGGAGGGAAGGGGAAAGGGGCTCGCAGCGGAGTGCCATGGGAGATCGTTCGGGGTACGGAGAGAGGAGGACGGAAGGAGAAAGGGGGCCGGTGGCGGCGTCCTCTGGAGCGGCGGAGATCATGCGCGCACCTGTTGCGTGGCTGAGTGGTGGCGGCTCTAGATGAGAGTCGGGAGGGAGAAAGTGAAGATTAGCTGCTAAGAAACAAGTAATTGGCTGCTGAGAGAGAAGAGCGACGAGATAGATTTCCTGGAGACGGACGCCTGAGGAGATAAGGTACAGCAACGATGTGTGACTGGCGGGGACATGCATCAAGCAGCCGAAGCGGTCGACGCACAGGCGTAATCAGCCGGCTGACAGGAAGTTTTTCCCTTGTTTTGAAGAGATCCTTGCAGCTTCATAGAATTTTTGTTATATTCCATGTCTCTAGGCAAAGTTTAGGTCCTTAACTTCTGAGATGCTGCCATTTTTTTTCTTTCAATAATATGGTCTAAGCATTATAAATTTCTTACATTCCCCACTTCCTATTTTTTACTCCATTGTCAGAGACTCAATAATGGGTTACGGTCTAAGTAACTTTAAATAAGTGACTCAATTTTGTACTTCAGTCGCTTATTTGGGACGAAGGGAGTAATATGCAGAGAAGTTTCCTTTCTGATTTGTAAATAAGTACTACCAAACAGAGGCCGAAAATTATGGTGACATACAAACCTAACTGTTGATTCTCAATCGAATGATGTCAGTTTACAATGCAAACCATCTACAAAAACGGAGGTTATATTCTTCAGATGATTTATTATCATAACTGAAGATCTGAATCTTGTGCCCTTTGGTTTGAGAGAAAGAGCTACTATCCCCTTCAACCTAATCCGCTATAGCTCTTTACGCTGTGCAGAGCTTCTTCTTCTAGCTCGACCAACATGCGGCAGAAGTCTTCAATATCCTTGACTGCTTCCTTGAATGTGAACCTGAACTCTTTCCAGTGGTACTGCTGAGGGACATCAGGTGCGGTAGCTCTTTCAGGAACCCTGGCGAGCACCTCAAATCCATGGTGATCAACGGAGAGCAAGACTGCATCCTTCAAGCAAAGAAAAATAGGATAGTCAACAGTACTGTGACAATAAGAGGACCTGGTTAATTTGGCCGGAAAGCTTCAGAAATGAGAAACTAATAATACACTTATCCTACATTGCACATTGTTCAGATATACAAGACACTTACTCTGGCAGTCACATCAAAATACTCGAAACAGAAAAGTATAAGCGCTCTCCGCCTTGGGTCACTCCTGTTGATACCATCAATAAGCTTCGCAGAGAATGGCACTACAAAGAATAATATATGCATTTAGAAACTGAACTATTACTGCAAAATTAGAAGGTGCAGTTAGAAAAATACATCTATTTAAGCAATCAACTAGCATCTTAATGACATTTCTAGAATTAAATGCTGCCAGTCAATAAAGTTGTTGGAAGGTACATAAGTAAAGATGCATAGCTGGAAAAAAAAATCTCGATAAATGGAGTTTTATTTACACAATTGTCACAAGGTATACAATCTCATAGAGTACAAAACCCGGCCAGCTGAAATCAATTAAGTAGAAACTTACATAGCAGGTCGGCTTTTGGTGGTTCAAAAGTATCCAACTCGATATTATGGCTGCTCCCCAATGAATCTATGAAGACACATGAGCTGCAATATAGATATCTCCGCAATCACAAATAGTTCCTTTTAACTAATTAAACAGATGATCAACAGATATTTAATGCACCAATGGTAAACATAAAGACTAGATAATGAATATTAGAAAACATAAAGGCATATTACATACCCAATTTCAAACTTCAAGATATTGTAGGAGCTCTCTTCATTGAGTAAGCTAAGGAGACCTTCACTGCGCGACCTACAAGTAGCACTTGCAGAAGACAATACCGTTGAAACCCCATAAGTAGCTTCGCTAGCAGCTTTATGTTCCTTCAGAATAGCTTTCTTAAGGCTTTCAGCTATAACTGGAACCTTAAGAAGAGCATATGAAGCACAATCAGTACCACTCTGCCGACTACTACTGGGAAATCGAACATGTTCACCCATGTTGGGGGTCTTCAAAATGGGCTTACCTTTGTCTCCTTCATGCGCAGGACATCGCCGGTCATAGCAACCCGGGGAGGCAACTGCACAAGACAACAATATCACCATGCGCTAGAGAAGGCAATCAAGCAACCATGCAGCAATTTGTGTTGCATTTTAGCTTATAGAGAAAGGAGCAACCTTGTTGAGTGACTTGAGCAAGCTGGCAAGGCGACCTGGGACTGGACTGGACACCGAGAGAGAACCCCGCTCGTCGATTATGATGTTCTAGATGACAGCCGTTTCATACAAGCAATTCATCAGAACATAACAGCAAGTCAGTAACCACTATTACAAATAAATCAGCCATCGTAAGAAAAAGATAGAGCATTACAATGTTGTGCATGTCGTTCTCGGGGACGATGAGGTAGGGCAGGCCCTTTTGGACCATGTAGTGCACCCTCGACGTGTAAACCTCCCCCTTGCTGCCCACAGCCCCGAGCAAGACCAATCAAAAACAAGGAAATTTGGTATTTTAGCTGTTACTCGCACAGGCATATGGATCAAGAGGTTGAGGTTGTAGGAAGTGGCGTGCGCACCTTCCCTTGGCATCCGCTTTGATGGTGTTGAGGTGGGCTTCCCAACTGGCGCCCAGGATGTTCTGCGAAGGGCGAGAGGGGGTCAGTGACAGAGCCTAAAATCGGAGGAGCGAATCGCAGAGGATGCTGGCGAGAAGTACCCGGCACTTTTCGGCGGCGGAGAGGGCGGTGGATTTGGCCTTTGACATAGCCATGGCCTCCGCTCCGCGCGCGCACCAGCTGCTCGCGGAAATGTGCTGGGGAGCGAAGGGGCGCCGCCGGGGATGAACGGGTTGGTGGTGCGGGTCTGCGGGATCGACCAGGAGAGCTGCAGAACCCTGGGTTCGCGCGGCCTTGTGGGTCTTTCTCGTGGGCCAATGGTTTAGTTCAGAGCTGCTAGACGAAGGAAGCGTTGGCGCGCGAGTGCTATATCTCGCATTAAGCGAGACCGACATTTCCTCTGGCCGAAGGGGTCTACAGTAATCTGGCTGGCCCATTTATGCAGAGTTAATAAAGAAAAAAGATAGCATTTTTTTTCAGCGGTTTTCTCTGTTTTTTCTCTATTTTCATTCGTTTTTTTATTTTATTTTCTTTACTTATTTTTTCCTTCTTCTTTTTATTTTGCTTCATTTCTTTTTTATTCTCTGGTTTTTAAACTTATTTTTGCATTTGTTTCTTCGGTTCTAGTTTTTTTTGGGTATCCTTTGTTTCTTTTGGTTTTAATCCTCAATTTTTTTGTATATATGTAAACCACTTTTTTCTAATACATGTTTAAAACTTTTCCAATACAAAATTGACATTTTTTTAGTACATCATCACAAAAATTTATATCACATTTTTAAAATTTTCCAAATGCCTTTTTACATTTTTTTAAATTTAATATTAACATTTTTAATAGATGGTCAACATTTTATATGCATATTTAATATTTTTTAAATGCTTGATTAATAGTTTTCAAATAAAAATATTAACATTTTTTAAATACATGGTTAATATTTTTCTATACACATTTAACATTTTCCAAACGCTTGATTAGCATTTTTCAAACACTTGTTCAACATTTTTTCAAATGCTTGATTAACATTTTTAAATTTAATGCTGGCCCATGATCAAAGTTTTTTCATCATTTTTAATACATGTTCAACATTTTTCTATACACATTTAACATTTTCCAAATGCTTGATTACAATTTTCAAATACTTTTTCAACATTTATTTCAAACTCTTGATTAACATTTTTATATACATAATAAAAAATGTCATCATTTTCTTACTACATGGTCAACATTTTTTTCTATACACATGTAACATTTCCCAAATGCTTGATTTACATTTTTTGAATACTTGCTCAATTTTTTTTCAAATGCTTGATTAACATTTTTTATACATGATCAAAAAAAATTTATCCTTCTTTCCATACATAATCAACAATTTTTAAATAATTGTTCAACATTTTTCAAATACTTGTAGAGTATTTTTTGAATGTTTTTGTAGAGTGTTTTTATATATAATATTTTCAAGTATAAATAAAAGTAAAAATAAAGCAAAAAACAAAAACAAAAAACATAAGATAAAACAGAAAAAGATGTTGCGGCCTCCCGTGCGCATGGGCCAGCCCATCTCGCGTGCCCCTTCGGCGAGTTGGTCTGCAGTGATAGTGTGTTTCTTAACCACCACCACCCCCCCCCCCACACACAAAAAGAAAAATAACAAAAACAATCAGTTAATGTGGGTAATGTTTTTTCTAACCAAGTGCAGTTGCACTATTTCGCTGAAACAAGAGCATGCTCGTGTTGCAGTTCATCCGGTACAAAGTGGTTGTCACATGTAACATGTGACTGTGGTGGAACTCCGTGAGGATGAGATAAGGATTAGCTACATGCACGTGTTAATCTCATCCCATTTTATTTTGTTCCATTTTTTCTCCAAAAAGCTACAACTTTTGAACTGAGCTTATGAACGAAGATCCATTTTCGCTGTTAGGTTTCACGATGAGCTCTTCAAAACTAGATTTATATGAATTGTTTCGATGATTTTTTACAAAAGCAACTTTGATGCTAGATGAGGTAACTTTAGTGCCAAACAGAAACAACTTCCCTTGCACCATGTGCACTAGTGAATTCATCTAGCATGTATATCATACACAATTTTAGAAACCATGGCAGATAACTTTCACAACTTTCACCGTATTTAGGCAACTAAGCATCATCCGTATGCAACTTTGGCATTACATGAAGGCAACTTTATGTTAGAAGGTGCATACAAATATATTATTTATAGACGGTCCTATAGTTGCCTATTCATGTCTTGTGAAGCAGGTAAAATATTTCTCCTAAGTTGCCTATCATGATTATGAAGTTGCCTACAACATAGTATGTGTACTAAATTAAGACTAATGTTAGAAAACAAATAAGGTAGCCAACTTCACTCCATTAAAAGAAACTAATTAACAACAGTGAACAACTTGAAAAACAGAGGTAGGTAACATCACATCACTTTCAGAAGCTACTTTCTTTCTACGGGAGGAAACTTTAGAGGCAATTTCACTACATTTCGTGTTCTAGTTCATTTTATTTAACATTCTCCTAACTTGATCATCTCTACTTCTAAGTTGCCCTCCATTGATGCTCGTATGTCGTTGTTTCTAAATTCCATATAATACTATGAAGTCGTCTACCACTGATTCTCAGTTGTCTGTTATTACTAGTTAGTTGCCTATCATGGGTGATATAGGTTATTTGACATTGATAATTAGTTGTCTACGAATGATTCACAGATGCATGTCATCACTCATCAGTTGCCTACAGTGCTATGAAAAGTTACCCACCGTCATTGCTCAAGTTGCATATAATCTAAAGCATAGTATTACGATACTTGCTAGTTGTGGTAGGTAACTTAAAGGTGAATCTAGTTAACTTGTTAGTGATGGTGGCTAACTATATAAGAAATTAATGTTGATAGGCAGTCAAACTAAGAAGAAGTTTCTTCCCTATAGCAGTAAAGTTGCCCCCATAACATCCAAAGTTGTTCTATTAAAAGTCCGTCGAAACATACCCATATGAAATCTAGTTTTAAAGAAATCATCGTCACAAACCCAAAGCAAAAGTTACAACTTAAAAAATTGAAACCCCAAATGAATGCATACGGATCTTGTTTGAGAAAGCATGGGGACGGGGATTAGATACTTCCTTCTTTTTGTGCGCTCGGAGGAATGAGGTGTGTCAGTTGACTTTTTGGTAAGTTTGCTCGGTTGCCCCCAATAAGCCATGGGTAGACACTTTTTTTTCTTTCAGGGAGATAGTATTGATAATATGAGAGGAGTGAAATGCATTCGTGGTCACTGAACTTGAGTTAAAAGCTCACTCTGATCACTTTACTTAAGAATACGGTTAATATAATCATTATGTACAGCTCTCAGTGATTATACGATCATTGGCTTATCGTATAGCTTTGTATATCACTCTATTAATTGGTCAGAGAATATTACACATGGCAAATAGTCCTACATGGCCCCGCCTGCTAATGTTGGGTAACGTAGCATGCAATTTTTTTAAAAATCCTACGATCACGCAAGATCTATCTAGGAGATGCATAGTGTAAGGGCATTCTTGTCCCTAAGTAGTTTTGGTGATTGATGACAATGCCTTTATGGACTAATCGTGTGTATTGAGCTTTTCAAATACATCACGACTAAATACAAGACGATTTGATGCCCCTCGAAGATTATTGAAGACGGGGTTTCTCTACGGTTCGGTTTGGTGGAGTTGAGTCGTAGGAGAGCCGTACTATTAAGAGGGGGTCCGCTTTGGAAAGGTTTGGGTGGAATCTCACGTACACATTCCCTTTTGCACCGCCTTTCCTCGAGCTCCTTGGAGTGTTCCTCCGTCTCACCTTGTCTCTGCGATATGAAGGCCTCCGCCTTGCTCTTTTCAGGCTAGCGGTAGTACTGCTCTTCTGAGCAGTACTACCGCAGGAGCCAGCGGTAGTACCGGGCTCCGACATGGTAGTACCGTAGGCTCCCACGGTAGTACCGCTCCTCAGAGCGGTAGTACCGCGAGCTCTGGTCTGGCACCGCTGCTCAAGCGGTGGTAGGCGCGGATGTAATTTTTTACATCCGCGCTCCCCGCGGTAGTACTGTGCTGCGGCACGGTAGTACCGTGGCGCCAGACCAGGTTCAGTAGCAGGAGCGGAGGTAGGGGCGGATGTAATATTGTACATCCGCACCTTTCACGGTAGTACCGCACCCATGGTCACGGTAGTTCCGTGTCGGATTTTTGCACGACAATTTCTCAACGGAGGTAGTCATGGATGTAATTTTTTACATCTGTGCCTACCGGGCCTGGCCTGCGGCTGTCTTGCGGTAGTACCGCATGGGGTCGTGGTAGTATCGCTCCCGCGGATCTACCGCGCCCTGTTAGTGCTCCTTTTGTCAGGTCTAGTCTCTGCCGTGCCCACGGTAGTACCGCGGTTCGCCGCGGTAGTACCGCGGGCCCGTGCGGTAGTACCATGCATGTGGTGCGGTAGTTCCGTGGGTCGCGGGTTGAGTGGTGGGTAACGGTTGGATTTGTCCCCCCACTATAAAAAGGGGTCTTCTTCTCCAAGAAGACACACCTCTTCCAACCCTAAACTCTATTGTTGCTCCAAGCTCCATTTTCGGCCGATCTCTCTCCCTAGCCAATCAAACTTGTTGATTTGCTCGGGATTGGGTGACAAGGCCCCGATCTACACTTCCACCAAGAGATATTTGATTCCCCCCACTAATCCCTAGCGGATCTTGTTACTCTTGGGTGTTTGAGCACCCTAGACGGTTGAGGTCACCTCGGAGCCATAGTCCATTGTGGTGAAGTTTCGTGGTGTCGTTGGGAGCCTCCAATTAAGTTGTGAAGATTGCCCCAACCTTGTTTGTAAAGGTTCGGTCGCCGCCTTCAAGGGCACCAATTCACGGCATCTCGCACTGTGTGAGGGCGTGAGGAGAATACGGTGGCCCTAGTGGCTTCTTAGGGAGCATTGTGCCTCCACACCGCTCTAACGGAGACGTACTTCCCTTCAAAATGAAGGAACTTCGGTAACACATCCTCGTCTCCACCGGCTCCACTCTTGATTATCTCGCACCTTTACTTTTGCAAGTTTACTTGTGTTGTATCCATTGCTTGCTTGTGTGCTTGTTGTAATTGCATCATATATGTTGTTCACCTAGTTGCATATCTAGACAACCT